TCTGTGTTCTTTAACCAAACGGTTTCGACAGGTGGATTCAACTTGTGAGTTCAGTGCAATACCAAAAGAATCCTGCTAATTCTGCATAACTTCTAGTTACTTACTGTGAGTAACCACCAGCCCATACTGCCTCCTGTGCTCTTCTGACCTTGTGCTCTGTTCCTTCTCTCTCGTCACATCAGTTGCCTGTTGGTCTACCTCTCAGTAAGTTAACTGAATAATTGACTGGTGCTGCTCGTTAATAGATGTGTCTTTTGGCCTAGAACTGTTAGAAGGTTTTGTCATCTGTTAAAGTGGTTTGTGGCCTTGGAAAACTGTACACCTGTTCTGCTCTGCAGTGGCTCTTTATCGAGAGCTGTACAGAAGGAATAAAACAGCACCTTTTGGTCAGCTGGGTTTTACAAGTATCCCCTCAATTAAGGGCTTTCATGCAGGTGGAAATGTGATAAATGTGAATCCAAGACTGTTTAAAACTCTGGTGATGGTAAGAGATTAAGAACATAACAAAAAGGATACAGATGAGAGGGTGCCATTAGTTCTAGTACTATTTAATAGTTAATTGATTCAAGGATCTTCTACAGTTCTTGAAAGAAACCAGTGTATTAGCCTCAGGGTGGCTAGCTTGTTCCATGCTTTAAATGCATGTTCTGTTTGTGTCCTCTGCTTTGTGCTTCCCTGTTAATACTGAGGAAGACTCCTGGGTTGACTTGTCAGTGGCTTTGAGGATTATGAACACTTGCATCAGATCCCCTTGTAGTCTTCTGTTGTTCAAGGCTGAACAGGTTCAGTTCCTTCAGCCTGTCAGTGCAGGACTGATTCCAGAGCAGCAATAACTTTTCTGTAACGTGTTGCATCGCATAATTTCAACATAACATCCTTTCAGTTCTTCACTAGCATGTAATTTGCTTTCTTAATTGCAACATAAACTCCATGTTACAATGTTATTATCTCTAAGTATGCTCTCCTATCTCAGTGGAACCAATTTTGTAATTATAGTTTGTTTTTGCTACCTGCTTGTAAAACCCTGTTCTGCATCTGTCAGATGTTTGCCCAGTCTCCCATTTTATCAGAATCTCTGAATTTGATTTGCTGCTCCTACAGTATTCACCAGTCCCCCTCATTTGATATCATCCATCACAGAAAGTCTGGTTTTTAAATCTTTTTCTCACGGTTTCCTTTTCCTTTTTCTGCATTGAAAGGCGATACCACGCAGGGTGAGGAAGGGTCAGACGGCGCCTGTCAGCCTTCAGGTCCACACAGTGCCCAGGTACGACCTGTGTCAGGCTCGCAGCACAGGAACCAGGCCTGAGTTACCATCAGGACCAAGCCTGTACAGCACGTGACAGGCCTGTCTTTGGAAAGCACCAATCTGTGTGCGGGCTTGGGTCAGGCAGGATACTGTACATCCGACAGCGTGGTACAGCCAGGCAGAACCCTGGCAGAGCATTCCATGTTGTGGTAAAAAACATTCTTAAACAAGTAAACATTAATTCCCCTCTGAAAAATACAAAGACACAAGACAGGGTTTCTTCTGTTAAGCCTTCTTCAAGCATGAGAGAGAGAGAGTGTAAAGTGGCTGCAAGAATATAAAACTCAGGACAACAGAGGACAGGGCAGAGAATGGGCACGGAGGTGAGGAAGAGTGTATATGCACAGCATGGGAAAGCAGGGGAGAGGTGTGGAAAGCGAAAATCTGTAAATGATTGGAGATTCTTGAAGAAGACACTAGTCTGGCGTTGGGAGAAAAGTCTGCCTTTTCCCCTGGAGGCAGCACATGCTGACCCAGCTCTCAGCTCAGACTTTATAGATTGACCGTGCGTGTGGGTGCCCACTGCAGCAGAGGTTTCATGTACAGTATGTAACACCCTCCCTTTCTCTCTTGTGCTGCTGGTTTCAGGACACGGCTGGGGACCCCCAGGCACCAGCACAGGAGTCCGAGCAGTGTCGTCCGGAGGAAGAAGGGGCAGAGCTCACCCCGGATAGGGGGAGGGCCGAGGGGGGGGGCACACCGCTGGCTGGAGATCCAGAAGAGGGCGTGACCTCCGACGGTTCACCAGGGAGCGGCACAGAGCAGAGTGCACCGGGTGGTCTGCCAAATGGCAGAGAGAGGGGGGCTTCCCTGGCAGAGGAGAATGGCATGGCTGTGCTCCCTGAGCCAGGAATGGACAGACCAGAGGAGGAAGGCTCTGCCCTGCCTGCGGCTGCAGAGACCCCCTCACGGCTGCCAGAATCGACTGCCATGTCAGGAAGCAGCCAGGTCTCAGAGGAGCTAGTAGGAGCGGTTTCTGTTGTGACGCAGCGCGAGACTGGGCTCCAGGAAGGAAGTGAAGAGCATACACTTGCAGGGCAGAACCGCAGCGAGATACATTTCACGTCCTGGGAAGGAGGTTCTTTCGAGCAGAGCTCCTCCACAGACAGTGCGGTCCAGGTGAAGTCATCAACCACCACAGTGGAGCGCAGGAGCACGTCCGTCGTCATTCAGAAGAGGCGCATGGAAGTGTGGGGCCAGCAGGGGGCGCTGTTGCACAGTGCAGACTCTGCACCATGCTTGGACTCTCTCACCCAGGAAACGGGCCATTTGGCAGAGCTGGAGGGAAGGTGTAAAGAGCTGCAGGCTGTGCTGCAGCAGAGGGACATGGAGCTCCAGAACCTGAGGGAGGCAGTATCGGAGTCCCAGCGGAAAACTCAGGAAGCAGAGGGGGCTCTTCAGGCCCTGCTAGACGTCAGGAAACAAGCAGAAGCCCAGATGCAGCAGCAGCGGGAAGGGCTGGAGGCCGCCAGGGCAGAGCTCAGCCAGATGGCCCAGCTCAGGAGCTCAGAGCTGGAGAGCCGCAGCCTGGAGTGCGGGATGCAGGAGGAGCAGCTGCGCAGCCTGGAGACGGAGTCCCGCACCAAGGACCAGAAGATCCAGGCTCTGCAGGCCGACATGGACCGGGTGCAGCGCAGCCTGGCTGAGCAGGAGGGCCTGGCCAGGGCGCTGAGGACCAAGCTGGGGGAGAGGGAGGAGGCACTGGCCAGGTTGCAGGAGCTCTCTGAGGCCGCCAGCGCTGCGGAGACGGCACTGGCCCAGAAGGCCGCGGAGATAGGAGACCTCAAGCAGCTCCTCGCGCAGAAGGAGCAAGAGATGCGCGAGCTAAATGACGGCATGTCTTCTAAACTGGTGCAAGCAGGAGAGGAGAGGTTCGCGCTGACAAGTCAGGTGGCGAAGCTCAGAGGGCAGCTGTCGGAACTGGAGAAGGCCTTGGAGGAACGGGAGAGAGCGGCGGGGAAAGGAGAGGGAGGGGACGGGGAGAAAGAAGATGGCCCCCCGGACGGAGAGGAGCTGGAGAGTCTGCGAAAGGAGAGCGATGCCCTCAGAGCCCAGATGGAAACGATGAAGGGCGAGGGGGAGCAGGTGAAGAGGAAGCTGCAGGCCGCACTGGTGCACCGCAAAGAGCTGATGAAGAAGATGGAAGAGATGAAGAGGGACATGGAGAGAAGGGAAGGGGAGGCCCGGGAGAACGATGAGAGGAGCAGAGCCAAGGAGCTGGAAAAGGAGGCCGAAGTCCAGAACCTCATCCGGGAGAGAGAGATGCACCGAGAGAGGGAGGAGGAGATGTCAAAATTGGAGGCCGCACTGGAGGAGGCCAGGCAACACCTGATTGCAAGAGACGCCCAGCTGGAGACCCTGAAAGGGAGAATTGCCGAGCAGGACCAGGCGCAGGACAGCGAGAAGCAAAACGCGGAGAGCCAGACGGATGCCGCGGTCCCCTCCGGTATCCCCCTGGGCCAGAGCGGCTCTCCAGCAGGCGGGGATGAGGAGGAGAAGGCCGAGCTGCGCCGCAGGCTGGCCTCCCTGGAAGCAGAGCGCGAGTCCCTGCAGAGGAAGCTTCAGGAAGCGCTGGCCTCCCGCAAGGACACCATCCGCAAGGCCAAGGAGAAGGACCGGCACCACCGGGAGCAGCTGAAGCAGCAGAAGGACGATTACAACGGGCTGCTGGAGCGCTGCGAGGAGCAGGGCCGCGAGAGGGAGGGGCTGCTGCAGCGGCTCGGGGAGCTGGAGGGGCTGCGGGCGGCCCGGCGGGGGCCCGGTGGCGGCGGGGAGCAGGCGGAGAGAGCCGGAGGAGGCTGGGGCCGGGAGGACTGGGTGGACTTCGCCGGGCCGGAGGAGGAGCAGCAGCAGCAGCATCGGAGCCCGCCGGTTCAAGAAACCAGGACCAGAGCCGGCGCGGAAACAGAGGCCGCCCCGGAGAAGCCGGGGGGAGAGGCGCTGGCCGAGCGGGAGGCCCGGCTGGAGCTGGAGAGGCGTCTGCAGGAGGCGCAGGCCGGCCTCGCCCTCAGGGAGTCGGAGCTGGGGGAGCTGCGGGAGGAGGTGCAGGGCCTGCGGGAGAAGGAGCTGCAGATCGACACGCTCTCCGGGGAGATCGAGGCCCTGAGGGAGAAGTGTCTGCAGGCGGAGGCCAACGCAGAAGCCCTGAGGTCAGAGGTGGAGGGGAAGGGAGGTGGAGGTGGCGGCGGGTTCGACTCCCCCATCGCGGGGCTGCAGGCTGAGGTCGAGGAGTTCAAGGCGTTCCTGAGCCGCAAGAACGAGGAGATCTCGGAGCTGAGCCGGCAGCTGGGAGAGCAGAACGCCCTCCTGCAGCTGATGCAGGAGACCGTCTCCGAGAAGGACCAGCTCATCGCCTCCCTGCAGCACGGCCTCCGAGCCGAAGAGGAGCGGAGGCAGAAGCTGGAGGCAGAGCTCCCGGCCAGGCAGCCGCAGGGGGAGGGAGAGGGGGAGGGCGGCAGCAGAGAGTCGCGATTGCAGCAGCTGCAGAGGAAGCTGCAGGCCGCCCTCATCTCCCGCAAGGAGGCCCTGAAGGAAAGCAAGGCGCTGAAGGAGGAGCTGGCCGCCGCGCAGAGGGAGGGGGCAGAGCTGAGGCAGAAACTGCAGGCCGGGGAAGCAGAGACGGAGAGAGGGAGAGTGGAGAGGAAGAAGCTGATCGAGGAAGTGGACCGGGCCCTGCTGGAGAACCAGAGCCTCGGGGCGTCCTGCGAGAGCCTGAAGCTGGCCATGGAGGGCGTCCTGCAGGAGAAGGACGCAGCCCGGAAGGAGGCCGCCCTGGCGAGGGAAACGGCGGCCCGGGAGACCCGCGAGTGGGCGGATAAGTTGCGGGGTCTCCAGGAGGAGTACGAGACGCTGCTGCGCTCCTATGAGAACGTGAGCGACGAGGCCGAGCGCGTGCGGCGCGTGCTGGAGGCGGCCAGACAGGAGCGGCAGGAGCTGGCGGCCAGAGCCAGGGCCCAGGAGGCGGCCCGGCGTGAGGCGGAGGAGCGGGCCGAGGAGGCCCGGGGGGAGGTGGAGGCCATGAAGGAGAAGATGCGCAAGTTTGCCCGATCCAAGCAGCAGAAGATCCTGGAGCTGGAAGAGGAGAACGAAAAGCTGAGAGAGAGGGAGGAGGGCTCCGGGGCCGACGGCGAGCTGGAGAGGGCCCGAGGGGAGCTGAAGGCAGCGGCTGCTGAGCTGGAGGCGGCCAGGGCGGAGCGGGACTCGATCGAGCAGGAGGCCAACGAGCTCAGGCAGAGGCTGGAAGAGGAGCAGGCCGGGGGGAAGGTCCGGCCGCAGGAGGGAGGCCTTGGGGTAGTGGAGGAGCCTCCGATCGCCGCTGCCCAGCAAACATGCACGGTCACGGCCTCAGCCAGACAGGACGTTCTGGACAGCCGCGCTGACAGTGCGACGCAAACGGACCAGGCAGATACTTTACACACGTCCCGGCGGGACACTGTAGTAGAGGACCCAAAGACTGGAACTCCAGAGAGATCGACAGAGTCGGAGAGCACACAAGGGCCAGAGCATGCCCAGGAGGAGGCAGCTGCAGATGACTTGAGAGAGACCTCTCCCCTCGAGGCTAGGGCAGAGGGGGTCTTGGGACAAGAGGCAGGAGCAGCTCTTGCTGGGCAGCTGGCCTCTCTGGAGCAGCAGCTGCAGGAGAGCCAGGCAAAGGAGGTCAGCCTCCGTGGGGAGGCTGCGAGATTGGAGGCAGAGCTGCAGGCGTCCCAGTCCCGGCTGGAAGCTCTGGAGGCCGAGAAGGATGACCTGGAGGAAAGGCTCATGAACCAGCTGGCTCAGCTCAACGGCAGCATCGCCGCCTACCAGCAGGAGGCGGCGGAGAGCTGCGAGCGCCTGGCAGAGCTGGAGCAGGAAAGGAAGAGGCTGCAGGAGAGCGAGGCCCGGCTGGAGAGGGAGAGAGCGGAGTGGGAGGCCGAGGCCGAGGGGGCGAAGGAGCGGGCCGCCAGGCTGGAGGAAGACAAGAGGCAGGCCCAGAGGGAGAGGGCGGAGGCGGAGGCCGAGGCCGGCAGGCAGAGGGAACTGGAGGAGAAGCTGAAGTCCGCGCAGCGAGGCCGGGAGGGCAGCCAGAGCCACGTCCGGCAGCTGCAGGAACTCCTGCGGGAGAAGCAGATGGAGGTGAGGCAGCTGCAGAAGGACTCCATCCGGTACCAGGAGAGGATCAGCAGCCTGGAGAAGACGGCGAGGGCCCTGACGCTCGGCGGGGAGGAGGCACGGCGCGAGCTGGAGGCTGCGCGCCTGGAGGTCTCCGCGAGCGCCGAGGGGAGGAAGAGAGTCGAGGCAGAGCTCGCCACCTCCAAGGTGCGGCTGGACGACGCTCAGAGTGAGGCGGGGCGGGCGCTGGCGGAGAAGCGGGCGGCCGAGGACCGGACGAGGCAGCGGGAGGGCGAGAGCAAGGCGGAGGCGGAGCGGAGGCTGGAGGCGGAGAGGCAGAGGCTGGGCGCGGCGCTGAGGCAGGCGGAACAGAGGCTGGAGGAGGCCCTGAAGGAGAGGGAGAGGCAGGCCGCGGCGGCCCAGGAGGCCAGGCAGGCGGCGGAGGGGCGCGGGGGCCAGGCGCAGCAGCTGCAGTCGCGCCTGGACGAGGCCCTGGCCCGGCTGGCGGCCTTCTCGCGCGCCATGTCGTCGCTGCAGGATGACCGGGACCGCGTGCTGGACGAGGCGAAGCAGTGGGAGAGCCGCTTCCACAGCGCGCTCCAGGCCAAGGAGGCCGAGGTGCGGCAGGGTGAGGCGCAGGCGCGGGAGCTGGAGGAGCGCCTGCTGGGCGAGGCGGCGCAGAAGGAGGAGCTGCAGGGCGCCGTGGACAGGTCAGTCACGAGCGTGCACGGGTCAGCAATGAGGGTGGACAGGTCAG